TATATTGTATTTTCACAAAAATAATTAAATAAAGTGGCTGTTGGGGGGCCAGTTGAACGGCTGAAAATGTTAAGGGAGGCTGGATATGTCAGAGACTAGATGTAATTGTTTAAATGTTAATTTTAGGTACTGATGAGGAGACCATCCTGACTATTCTGACATCTCGAAGCAACACGCAGCGCCAGGAAGTGGCTGCATCTTATAAAACTCTTTTTGGCAGGGTAAGACCTCACTGCATCCCACAGTAGAAAAGGAAAGCTTATTACGTGAAATGTAATCATATATTTTTTGTAATATTTATTTTTGTGATTCTCACTTTTCTGCCCTTTGTGTTTCATTTTCAAATTTCCTTTTAATGGTTAGCTGTGGAATGCCTGAACATTCAGTATAATCACTACCCCTTGTCTTTCTTCCTGCATCTCCTACCCATTTGTATCAAATGATATCATACATAGAGTGAAAATATTAATATATTCTTGTTATTATGAAATTTAATTATTCAGTTGAAAAGCAAATGAAAAACAACAAATGAAATGTTCTTACCACCATTCCTTGTTGTTTGGCATGCTGAAACAAATATACAGGAAATACTGCTATTTTTTGCATTATTACTTATTGCCTGTAGTAGCTGTTGCTCAGTCATCAGGAACATAATACCAAGTAATGATTAATGGATCAAAATATCATTAAATATTGTGAGAAAATAGGAGAATTGTCATATTTAGAAATACATGCCAGATTTTGGCTGGTATTTTTTTTTTTTAGAAATACATTAATATAAGAAAAAAAAATCCTTCAAAGAAAACAAAAGAAATACATTAATATGTCTTTTGAGTAAGAGTTTTCTTATAGTACATGTTTCTTAAAACACATTTGTGAAGGTAAAATGTTTTTAGCCTGATTTTTAAGGTTAGGCTAATTGAATCTGTGTGTGTTTAAATTCTTAAGGCTGCAGTAAACATCTTTTGAAAGTTTATGCCTTGATGTAGAAATAACTTTGCTTTAGCTGTAGGTCATATGTCAGAAGTATATCATTTGGGACCATCAGGTCTTCATTTGACTATAATTTCCTTCTATTTGGAAACAGCATATTTTGTTTTTAAAGTGAACAAGTTAGGAATTCTTGAAAATAATTTTTCATGCCTTTCTAATTTTTTTTTTTAAATATAAAAGAATTTTTATAGCAAAGAGCTGTCATTTATATTCAGGAAGAATTCCCTTCAGATTACTGCCTGGGTAGCAAATTGGTGTTTTTGCTGTGTTAGGATCTCCTGGATGATCTGAAGTCAGAACTGACTGGAAAATTTGAGAAGTTAATTGTGGCTCTAATGAAACCCTCCGAGCTTTATGACGCCTATGAGCTGAAGCATGCTCTCAAGGTAAAAGAATGAGTTAAAGAAACATTACTATCATGTGAAAGGTTTTATTTACCTAATAGCTTTATCTTATGTTTTATATCATGTTAATTATTCCAGTGAAAGTTTCTTAAAAGTTAAAATTACACATGGGACAGTAAGAAAAGGAAGGAGAAAAATGACAAGCATCCAATTTAAATTTTTTATATGGTAAATTCAGAAACATTGGCTGCTTAAGAATTTAGTTTGTAGATTTTTATATTTTATTTCCATACTTGCTTTAGAATTTTGAGCTGGGTTTTCAAAATGTTATAAGGTAAATGTTTTATCTTGTAAGTTAGAAACTTGCTTTATCAGGAGAATATATTGTTCATTGTATTAGGTAAAATAAAGCTTGAGAGAGAATCTTCAAGATAAAATTTATAATGTCCATTTCTTCTTTTCCTTATTAATAAACACAAGGTATCATTGAAATGAAGTAGCTGACAAACACACTTGCTTTCACTTGTAGCAAATAGCTAATGTGTGTTCCGTTGATGGGTGGGTAGAATATTGTCTGAAGACCTCTGCACTGAAACGTTTCTTTAGTCCTTTGAGACCAGAAAGAGTTCCATTCTTGACTGCTAGATATTGAATGTGAAAATTAAGATTTCATGACGGAGAGGTAATGGATTCTTGTTTGTGGAGTGGATGGAGGACAGGGTAGATCAAAATGCAGAAGCCTTTTATATGCTTAATGGCATAATTTTCCTGAAATTATTTTGGAACAAATAAAAATTTTATGTTATTAAAGGACTATTTTGCAGAGTGTTTCTGAAATATGATCAACATCTAATATGCAGCTCTGAAATTAGCCAGAACCTTGATCTAGGTTTTTTCCAGTTTTAATGAAGAAAGATACACCAATAAAATATGGCTTAACTACCCTAGCTTTTTCCACTGAATTTATATATTGTTGCTGCTTTCTAATTTAGCAATGTAAAAGTGATAATCAGAAAAAGGAAAACCAGCTAAAAGTATTTTTTCAGAAATCTAGATAGCAATTCCTAATTTGTTCTTGCTGATTCCGGAATGATAACAAAGCATTACTGTATTAATGGTGAATGTTTTTGATTCCAAATTAACTGGTGGCTCCACTGAGAATTTGTGGACTGTGTTGTTGTACAGCATGACTTTAATTAAGTTGTTGCTATTGTTATGGGCTGCTAAGTTGGTTATGACTCATAATGACCCAGTGAACAGGGGATTTCTATACTGCCCTATCCTGGGCCATCCTCACCATCTTTGCTTTACTTGAGCCCCTTGTAACAGTCTCTGTGTTAGTCAGTTAATTTCATTAAAGAGCTTCCTCTCTTTTGCTGACCCTCAGCTGTTCCAAGCATAATGGCCTCTTCCAAGAACCAGTCCCTTCTAACATGCCCAAAGTGTATAAGGAAAAGCTTCACTACCCTGCCTCCAAGGAACACCCTGATTGTACTTTCTTTAAGACATATTTGTTTGTTCTTTTGGCAGCCCATGGGATAGTCGGTACTCTTCTCCAACACTGCAACTCCAAGGCATCGCTTTTTCTTCCATCATCCTTAGTCATTGTCCACCTTTCATATGCATAGCAAGCAGTTGTAAAAACTATAGATTTTCAGTTAAATAACCATAGGTAGCATCAAAAGAAAATGGAAGCAATAATACCCAAGATAATTGGTTGACATCAGCTGTTTCATGAGCTGATGGTATTGATTCCATGCTGCACTGTAGGCTATGGTGAAAAATGGGCTCCGGAAATTTACAGAATATCAGCTGAGGTGTTTCAACAAATAGGTATAACACTGGAAACACTTACTAGTTAATACCAAGAAATTTAGAAGCTAGCTTCTTGGCCAGCTGACTGGAATACGTCTATATTTGTGACAATTCTAAAAAAGGTGATTCAACATAATGTAAAATTTGTGAACAATATCATTGATTTTACATGTAAGCATAATTTTGCTGGTAATCATTAGAAAATGGTTGCTTAGTATATAGATAGCAAACTGCTGAAAATTACAGCTGAATTCAGAAGAGATGGAACAAAGAATATCATTACTGATGTCACATGGCTCTTGATTGAAAGCAGGGAATACCAGAAGATGTATACCTGTGTCTTTTGTTTGTTGTTTTTTCTTCTCCATTATGCAAAGATGTTTGACTGTGGATAACAGCAAATTAATGGATAATACTGAGAAGAATGGAGAATTCCTAACAGTTTTACCTATACATAAATCAGGTGAGAAAGTGGAACATCGAAAGAAGGTTGTGACGTAAGTATCGAGAGAAGACTCATTAGCAACCAGTGATATGCAGAAAACACAATCTTGCTTGCTGAAAGCAGAATTTAAAGCACTTATTGATGAAGATCAATGGTTACAGATTTTAGTGTCAATGATATAGTGTGTTAACAAAAGCAAAACAACAGTTTTTATTCTTTTTGGTTTTTTGCTTTTGTAAAACTGAAGCAGTGGGAAGGATCTTGATAACTGAAGTTTGAAATTGTCAAGAATTTAATCTTACGCAGATCTGCAACCAAGCAGCTGTCAAGACGATAAATGACATGTAGAGCTGGGCAGTATTGCTGAAAAGACCTGTGTAAAGCATTAAATAGTCAATATGTCACCTTGGGCAGTAGGGTCTACTGGACCTAAGCCATGGCATTTTCATTTTTCTCATAAATATACAAAAGATGAACAATGAATAAGAAAAGCTAACGTAGAATTGAGGTCTCTTAATTATGGTATTGGTGAAGAATGCTGAATATACAATTTTCTAACAGAACAATGACTAAGACTAACTTTGCCTTGTAAGAAGCACAACTAGAATGTTCCTTAAAAGCAACAATGGCAAGATTTTGTGTTTTGCACATTGGATGTATTATCAGGAGAGACATATCTCTGGAGATACACATCAAGCTTATGAAGTAGAAGGTCAGTGAAAAAGAAAGAGGTGCTTAGTGAGAGGGACTGACACAGTGGTTACAAAAGCAGAAGCAAACAAGGCAACAGTTGTGAGGATGTTGCAGAAGTAGACATTGTTGTTTCACTGTAATCAGAGTAGGTGTGATGGTAAGGAGGGCGCCCTGGGAACCTAGTGGCAAGAAGCTGCATTGCAGTCCAGAAGGCACGTGATTCGAGGCCACCAGCTGCTCTGCGGGAGAAAGGTGTGCAGTCTTCTCCTGTCTCTGAAAACCCACTGGAGGGTCAGCTTTGGGTCAGTTCCGACTCAACAGTACACGACAACAACAATACGAAAATAAGGAATCATGTTGCCAGTCCACTAGCTGTTCCACAGGACAAAGATGGACAGTCTCCTCTTGTGTGATTTACTGCCTCTGAAAATCCTCTGGAGGGTCAGCAGCTATGGGCCACTTTCAACTGGATGGTACACAGCCACAAGAGATGATTCAGAACCAACTTGACAGATCTAACATTACATGCAATATGTTTATAAAAAAGAACCCCAATAGGAATGAAACTGGGGGGGAGGGTAGAGAAAATAGTGCACCCATGAATGAATGGAAACCCCAAATCTCTGTAGATGTTCATTAAAATTAATAAAATTTAATAAAAAAAAAACAACCCTACAGTTTACTGTAAC